CTTGTAGAAACAGTAAACATTTTCCTATCTCTGAGACTGTTCATCCACAGCCTGGCATATTCTCAACCTAATCTGGGCAATTCCATTACCACTGTTAGAAATCACATCTCTGGAACAGCCACAAAAAGGATTTTTTTTTCTTTTTTTTAAATGGGACCCAGGTAGAACCCAAAAATGGCAAGAACAGCTCACTGGATAAACAATTAGTTGAAGATTTTGTTTTTCCTCAGGATCTCAGCCTGCACTTTTAAAACTAGACTTGGAGGCGGGGGAAAGCATTATGTTTTGCATTTATTTGAAAAGGATAAAGTTGCCACACTTTCCTTCTATAAATTTCCCAGGAGATCTTCAATGTACCTGACTGTAGATGTTAAAAACAACTGCTGCATATTTAAATAAAAAGGATAGTTCTAGCAGAAGTTGCTTCATGAAGCAAATACGATTACACCGAACATCAACATCATCACCTTGAAAATTCAAGACATTAGCAATGATGTCACCCTAAATCCATCACTTTTTAAAAACTCACAGGTCCTAAGAAAGCTTCCTTCATTCCTGGGGTCAAGTGGGAGAAGCTCAGCCTTCTCATGTTGGGTTACTATTAATCCTTTTTGCCAGATCATCTTGTTAAGCAATGTTCTTAGACAAGTCAGCTCTTTTGGAGAACATTCCATCCCAAACTGAAAGCATCAGAGGTCTCCACTATACCAAACCAGCCAAGAGGGACTTTATCAGCAGAAACACTAACATTAGGCTTTGCCTTGTCCTTGAAGAAACATTTGCATTGGCATCCTGACAGAGCAATTTTATTCTACTCCACCACCTTCTCAAACTTTCCTGCAGCTTCCCTCTTATCTGAGGCATCCAGGATAACCAAAGCTTCAAATGAGCTCTTGATAACACCAGGACAAACTAAACCTATATTAAACAGATACACATCAGAGAGATGAGATTTAACCAATTTTCAAGATACCAGTGGATTCTGTTTTTATACATATGCGTGACTATGCAAATATGAAATCCTTTGCCTTCATTTTTGAAATCGCTCAGTCAGCTATGCTAGACACTATTTCTCTGTAAGAAGAACAAGATGGAAAAAGAGCCAATGAGGGATTCTGCTGCTCTTAAAACAAGCTGTCCTGTTACTCCTTTCAAATTTTGTTTTGGATCATGCTTCTCCAAACTGGTGCCCTCCAGAGGTACTAGGACTGTATCTCCCAGAATTCCCAGCCATCTTGAAAATTCTAGACCACGCTGAATGGGGATGGCTAATTCAGTTGATCAGCTGATGGGTGGGAGAGCTGAGTGCTGCAGTCCCCAACATATTCTCAAAAGTAATGAACTCCCAAACTTAAGAAATGCTTTTTATACGCATTCTATGTTTATAGATATGATCTGGCCACAACTTCAACCACAGGCTTGTAGGGATCAAGCAGATCATATTTCAAACTACTACACAGAAATATCATTTGAGGTCATCTTGTAAAAAAGTGGAGACAGTTCATCCATGTATGATTGATTTATCTAAGACCTCAAGGAACTTGCATGAAAAGATCAACACCTTTTTGCCTGAACTGGTCCATCAAGTTTCAGGTCTAGGGAGGGACTAAGTTGACATTTCTCTAAAGCATTCTCTAACGCACTGGCTACAATGAATCTTGTTTCTTGATGGTAAATGGCTTTGTGGATGAAGATAAGCCCCTGGAACCTTTCTGTCAGATGTTCTTCTCAGCATCATGCTTGGGTCCCAAGGCAGGACAAAAAGCACAAACCACGATCCTTATGATTTTAAAGACAGTATGGATGGTTTTTCATTTATACAACTGCATTTTGTTGATTATATATAATTTTTATCTATTTATTTCATTTTTATGCAACCCAATAGCAAGCTTTCTGCTTGTAAACTTAATTATTTACTTTTCTGTCTTCCAGTAATAAGGAGTTAAAACTTTGGGGAACCCCCATGCAAGATAATTTGGTTAGCTGGTTGGTAAATAAATGACTTAAATAGAGAGTTAAGTAAAAAAAATATAAAAATAAGGCACTCCTTCCTATTAGAAGAGAGCAACAAGATGACTTAATCAAGAACTTAGTCAACCTTCCACTCCCTATCACAAGTAGCCCATATCCATTGCCCTTAAAAAGAGAATAGTTTAAACTTTTCCTAATTTAGTCAGTCCCACAATATTCACTAGTCTTTCTCCCAGATAACTATACACGTTTTTTGGGGCCTAGTGCATAATGATAGTACTCTGGATTTCAACAAACATGTTAACATGTAGAAGCAAATGTTCTAAGAATCTACAGACTGTTCCTTTTAATGGCTTGTTCATGAACATTCTGCCCTTTCCTTTACAGGAATATTGGATCGCATCTCAATTCAGAAACTTATTTACCTAGTTTTGACTGTGAACTTTGTAGTTTGTCTCTGATTTTAATTAGAGATCACCAGAACGAATACCCTGACATTACCTTCTCCCCCAAAATGTCAAAGTAGGACTCTGGATTTTTATATCTATACACATACACAAAAATGCACTTGTGTTTGTGAGAGAGAGAGAGATGGCAGCCAGGGGCTACAATTTCCGCTTTGGGGGAATATTCTACTTTCCACATTTAAGGTTACTTGTGTGTGTTTTATTGGTTGTTTGTTTGTTTTTATTCTATTGTTATATTTCTATGTTATAAATTGCTGGGAGTCTTGCTGAATCCAGTGGTATACAAACATAAGCATAGTAAATGAAGCAAATAAGTAACTAATACACAGTGGTAATACAGCATTTTCAAGCATTTAAAGCACTTACTAACAGTATGTTGTTCTACAGCAAACGTATAAGGCAAGAATTATCCTCCTAATGCAAATTTTGCAGGTCATGAAGCTAGGAGAGTTGAGGGCACTAAGCACTACTCAAGGAAAGCTCATTTAAACCTCTTCCAATTCCTAGACCTCCAGACACTTCCCTGCTACCAACGTTGGATTTAGTTTAGTGCTTCTCTGCATAGATATTTGATGAAGCCCAGCACAGCTTGCTGGACTAAAGTCTCCAAACTGATTCCAAAACTTCCACTAAACATGTTTTTTGCTTCATTCTGTTCTGCCAAAGCATCTTT